TATTAAATTTTATTTCTTATTATTACTATTATAATTCCTTCTAATTTAAAATTAATCTTAATTTATTAAATTTATTATTAAATTATTTATATCTTTAAATATAAGCCTTATAACTTAATAAAATATATAATTAATATATAAATACTAAAGAAAATATTTTAGAAATTATATAAATTGTATTTTAAAAATAAAGATTATATTCTATCTATTAATAAAAAGATATAAAAGATTAAGTTTAAATTAAAAGATTTTATTTATATAAATATTTTTAGATTAATCTTTATAAAAGACTTTCTTAAGATTTTTTATTTTATTATTTTTATTAATTATATTACTTAATATTACTTAATATTACTAAATATTTATAATAAAAAATTATATAAATATACTCAAGAAATTTATTTTATTATAAAATTATTTATTAATTTAATTTTAAAGATTAATTAAATATTTTTATATAAATAATATCTTAAAATACAGCTTCTTAAAAAATTATTATCAATTTAAAACTATTATTTAAATTTTTATTTTATATTATTAATTTCTTTTATTAAAATAATAAAAATTAAGAATTATTATCTAACAAAGCTAATTAAGTTTATAATAATAAAGAATTAATTATTTAGATTTTTGTATAATTATATTATAAAAATAAATAAATATATTAAAAATAAACTTATTTATAATATTATTAATATAATATTTTATATTAAAGAAGATCTATAGCAAACTATATTTTAGAATAAATAAAAATTAATTTATTAATTATAATAAAAATCTATATAAGATTTATAATTTATAATTAAAGAAAATTATTATAATTAAAAATATTATTTTTTCTAAAAAATCGATTTTTATATTATTATTTTTAAATATTAAATATAAAATAGATAATATATTAATTGATTCTTTAACTAGTAATTTATGTATTAAAAAATATTAATATATTTTATTTAAATTTCTGCTTATATAAGATAAATAATTTAAATTTATTAAATTTTATAAATCTGCTGCTATTAATTTCTTTATTTAATTTTAAATTATAAAATTATAAATTATACTTAATTAATTAATTATTAATAATTTTTATAACTTAGAGAGTATAAAATAATTAATATATTATTTTTAATTATAACTTTAGATTTTTTTATTAATATATATACAATTAATTTAGTAATAGATCTTATATTAAAATCTTAATTCAAACTATCTTTTTTAATATTAATATTAATAATTAAAAGATTATCAGTTATTAAGAATAATAAAATTAATTTATTAAATATCTTTTTATTTTATTATATAAAGCAGTCTAGTACTTAAATTAAAATTTTAAATTAATTCTTTTAATAATATATAAAAATTAAAAAATTAAGTTTAAAATTTTTAGAATATATATAATTATATACTATAGTTTTATAAATATATTTTAATTTATATAAAAATATTAGTTTTATTAATTTTTTAAAATAGTTATATATTATAAATATATTATTTAATTTAATAGCTAATATTAATAATATTAATATTTTGAATAAAATATTATATAATAATATTATTCTGTTAAAACTATTTAATAAAAAATATATTTTATTTTTATAATTAAATATTATACTTTATAAAACATCAGTAAACTAATATAAAGTAGTTTATTATAAAATTAAATAATATCTTTATTTAAAAATCTTTTATATTATTTATAAAAAGAAGAGAATAAGATTTTTATTAATATATTAGATTTAATAAATTAAGTCTAACAATATTTATAAAACTTATTTTATAGTTAAAAACTTTAAAGAATATTTAAATAAAATTTTCAAAATATATAAAATCTATAAAGCTGTTATAAAATTAATAAATCTAAAGATTTTTATTATATTAATTATAAAATTTCAATAATATTTATATAATATTAATATTATAACTATTTTTTTAAATATTAAATTTTAAAAATTAGATTACTATAAACTATTTTGTAAAATTATTTATAACTTAAGATAGTTATTCAGAGAATAATATATATATTATTTTATAATTTCTTTATTTTAAAAGAATTTATATATATATATATATATATATATAAATTATATTATATTAATTTATAATAATATTTATATTTTTATTTATATTAATAATATTTTACTACTATTATCTAATCTTAATTATATTAAAAAAATTAAAGATATAAGTAATATAATAGTTAAATATATAAATAATAGCTGTATAAAATAATTCTTTAATATAAATTTTATTTATTATATTAAAAATAATATAGTCTTACAGAAGTATTATATTTTTAATATTTTAAAATAATTTAATTATAAGAATTATAAATCTTTTTTAATTCTATATAATCTTAAGATTATTCTAATTATTAAAAATCCTAAACATCTTATTATAGCTGATAAAATTAAAATATATTAAAAATAATTTAAATATTTAATTCAATTAATTATTAAAATATATTCTAATAGGATCTATATAATAAAGAAAATTATTTATTGTATTATTAATTTTGTTAAGATTTATTTTATTATATTATTATAATTTAAGTTTATTATTATTTAAAGAAATTATTAGATCTTATTTTTTTTATTTTTCATAATTCCTTTCTTTTTATATATTATAATACTAATTAAATAGATTTTTATATTCATAAATTAGTTTTAATAAGTAATTATATCTTTATTCTTATTAAAAAATTTATTTTATAATATTTTGAAAAATAATTTATTATTATATTTTTTTATTAAGACTAAGTATATTATTTAGATACTGACTGTTTAAAAAATACTCTAATTTTAATTATTATTTAATAAATTTTATCTTTAATAAAATTAAATAATATAGATTATAATATTTTATTTAGTTATTATTTAAATTAATAATTAGAATATTATTATAGTATTATATAATTTAAAATATTATATCTGTATTAAATATATATAAATTCAATTATATTTTATCAAATATATTATTATTACTAGTAATATTAATTTTATCTATATTTTAATTAAAAAACAAATAATAAATTAATTAATTAAACTATTTATATTTATAGTATTTATTTATATAAAAAAAATTATTTTTAATATTCTTTATAGAATTTTAAGCTAGAAAGATATTAAATTATATTATATAAGATTTTATTATTTATTATATAACTTAATAGTTTGCTAATGGCTTAAGTAGACAGTTATCTCTAGCTACTTAAATCTATCAATCTTTTACTCCCTTGTATTCTTTATATAAATATTTTCTAAGTTATATATATATATAAAATTATTAGATCTTTAAGAATTCTCTTCTAAATACTAGCTATTTTCTCGTATATATAAAGACATAGTTCTCAAAGCACATGGACTCCATCCCTGATAAATATTATTTAATAGATTATCTCGAGGGATTTACGTAATAAGATTATAAGAAGGTATTTATATAAAATAATATAAAATAGATATATCTATAATAAAGTTGAGATAAATATAATCTTATTTAAAATATTACTAATTTACTAGCTAGATTAATTTTTATAAATAAGTATATTTATAAAAACCTATATAGATCATATATTTAAAGATTTATATAAATTATATCTTTTTCATCTGTGAGATAAAATCTAGACAAGAAACAGAGTACTTGATGTCAGCAGGATAAAGTCTGAATAAGAAACAGAATATAATAGAGAGTAATGGCAATCAGGATCTTGATAAGACAAGATATATATATCTCACAGGTACTGTAGGGATTGCTGTTCTTACACACATTAATATTGTAGCAACTGTATAAGAATCATGACATAAAGATAGTTGTTTCTTCTTGAAAAAAATTCTATAATCTATTCTTAAATTATATAATTATAAGGATCTAAATTAGAAAAAATACTTTAAAATCAGAAACAAATAGATATTCATAATTATAAAAAAATAACTTTTATAATTTTTATAATAATTTATACTATAAAAAAATATATACAGAAAATACTATATCAAATATCAATAAATATTAAGATATATAATTTATAAAATGCTTATAAATATATTTATTAATAAAAGAATATAAATAGATAGTAATAATATTTTTGATAATATTGATTGTATCTTAAATTTATAATAGATATATCTTCTTTATTGTAAGACACCAACCTAGGGGAGTTGTTGCCACTGAGCCAAAAGGCTAACATTACCCGCAGTTATCGGGATTGACTATATGTCCAATATAATTAAAGAAAATTTACAACTAGTTACTGCTTACTAAGGAATTAATACCAAACTTCTGTAATTATCTTTTTAAAGTAGCTCTAATAAGAAGAATATAATTTTATTATTTTTCTTTAATATAAATTTTATAATATAAAATAGAGTACTGAATAATATTTTTATAGTATATTTTAAAAGCTATAGCTTAGATATATTATAAAAGATAAATCTACTATTTCTCTTACTGTCTTCAAGAAAGCTGAGATTATAATATAATATCTTGTAATATTACCTCTAGTGTCTCGGTCTTTTAGTCGGTCCCGCAGTAAATGCTACCTGCGGACCCCTAGAATCCCATATATATACTCAAGTACACCCGGGAGGAGGTGGGCTTCACCCTTGTAAGTATGCATATCCCGCGGGTATCATCCCTTACATTTATACTATCTAGAGCTGCTCTATCTCTTATAAATACTTTGGGTAATAGAGTATATACCTTGACTTCGCGATAGATATATCTTCTTCATACTACCTACAACTGTTTTGCCTCTTACACTCCCCTAGGTTGTGTACTTACGTAGCCTAGCTTTATTAGATATTTATATATGGATATTTATATATAGAATTTGTATCTTTAATTTAATTAATTTAGATCAAGCACATCCCAATTCTGATCCCAATTCCTTGAATATTTTATATATATCTCATTCATATCTAATTCTATATCTATATAGCCTATCCATGCATATACTAGTATTACAGAATCGGACTTTATAGCCTCATCTTCCCAGCGACTACCATTACCTAGCTTGCCTGATCTGACCTTTCACGAGTCCGTTTCCCAACTCCATAGCCAATGCAGCCTTGACCGTTGCATCTGGACCACCGGCCTGCAAAAGGAGTACCCTGGCCGTCTTATCCAATGCAAAGACACCTCTTATTGTTCCTTTTGGTAGCTTCTTCAACCCGAAGGCCTCTATTAGTGTATATGAAGGGTTGCAGAGCAGGGGAAAGGGCAACATCTGCTTTGATTTGAATGTGGTGTTTGTCTTGGGCGAGTCTGCCGAAAGGCCGTAGACAGATAAGCCGAGTTTGGTAAAAGAATCATAATGGTCACGAAACAACCCTGCTTGCTTTGTACCTTTTAACACGTGAGCCTTCGTTGGACCACTGGTTTGATTGGAACATGCGGGATGGCCACCATAAACAGATGCATCAAAAGCCACGCCAGGTAAATTCCAGCAAGAGGGGTACAAAGAAGAAGGGCCAGGATTCCACATACAGCCTGGGGTTGAAGCTCTAGGGTATGTGAATATCACAATACCATTATCGCTTGCATTGATGAGGTTTTTTAAAGTGGTTTTATTGCCATCATTTGTTTCAAATTCACCGCCAAAACCATCCGAGTGTATAACATCGCCCACTTTGGGAAAATTATCGAAAGGGCCTGTCTTTAAGACATTACCTACTTTCGGCGTAGGGCTTTGAGATGACCCAACAGATGGATGGACTCTTTTACCCTTTCTCTCGGATATAGAGGGTTGTGTTGGCGCTTTGCGCTTTCGAAGTTCGACCATATCTTATAGTTGAGACCATGGAAAACGCAGTGTTGGGTTAAGTTTAGTTCATGTGCATATTGAGCAAGGAGCTGGTCGATAGGGGGGATGAAACGATATATGAAAGAACCATATTTGTATTATTCAGAATGGCAGACATTATTGAGCCTAGAGTGGCGGTTATGGGTCATGCCGGGAACCCCCGACTCTTGGCGCTACCCTTTCCGGTCCCAAAGAATCCAGGATTATTGCAAAAAAGTCATTCTTCTATGCTTATCTTGACTGTTGTTGCGCCAGAGCGGATCGCCACCTACGATTATTGTCACAACAACACACGGAAAGAGTTTTATTGCTCCTCTAGTAGTAGTTTATCATATACTACCACTTGAGGTCATCGTAGTCATCAATCTCTTATAACAATATATCCATCCACTCCACATCAACTGTCACAAAAGAGCTTTGGAGTATCCTTACTTTCTCTCCAGTCTTCATTGAAAGTGCAATTCAGCCTTTTTAATATTCAATTTCTATCCCCGAAAGTCACATACAGTCTTTTTGACTTTTCTTTTTAACAGAAGAAAGACTTTCTTGTACTGCCGGTACATTACTTCGAGATGAGAGTCTTCTCATCGACTTGCACATTTGATTATTCATGGGAGGAAGTCTCTGCGGCAAATTGGCGCAAGTACTGCCCTTGGAATGACAAGTCTACGCATGTGGTGGCAGTGGACACTTTGTCTCGAGTGGTAGACCTTGAAACAGGCATTGTATGTATCCTTCCTTTACGTGCGCTTCATTTATCACCTAAAGTAACAAGCGACTAATTCTACTGAATACTAGCTACATACTGAGCGTCTTATTACGTGTCATCAGTCGGTACCACAATGGGTACTTTCGCTATTTGGAGGGAGTGCCACATCTCATGTTTATGAAGTATCATATGTTGATCCAAGCTCCAAGAAGGTCACAATGTGCTCAACCAACCTCACGTGGTCCAATGTCTTGAATGTCAGAGAGACTGTTGTTTACCAGCCATCATTTCTGAACCCATCATCTACCACCGAATTCAACCAGGAAGCGAAAATCACTGCTCTTTGTGGTGGGTGGCAGAGAATCAAAAACAAGGTAGAGGAAGCTAGTGTGGAAAGATTCAGTCAAAATGCAAAAAAGGGTCGAGAAGGGTTTGAAGCAGTCCTTGAGATGAGTCGGCGGGTTTTCAGTGAGCAGCGTGAACTTGACAGAAATAAACTGAAGCCCTGAATATATACACCGCTGAGCTATTCTTATTTTCTGTTTTATAATGTTATCAGCGGTTGCATTCATTGGCGTCACCCCCTCCCCCTCTAAGTACTTGCCTCGGTGTGGTCTCACCTCTTGGGAAATATTCAATAAATATTTACTGATAGTGTTTTATTCCCATACGAGATCACTGTTTGAATTATTTTTCTGGTCAGCAACGGTTCTTATGTTAGTCATATAAAGACAGATGATTAGTGACTTCTATATTTTAATAATTTATTAAAGATTTTCTATATTTCTTCTATTTTATATATTTCTAGTTTTTTATTGATATTAAATACAGAAAGTATTCTTTATTAATTAAATAAATAATATTTTATATAATAAAATTAACAGAAGATTTTATACAGTAAAATATAATATATAATAAAAGTTTTTTAAATAAATCTAGAATTTATTTAATATTATTTAATATAATATAACTAGATTTATAAATAGAATATTATTCTATCTTTAGCTTATTAAGAATAGAATATAATTATTATATTCCCAGCTAAGTAAGTATATATTCTGACAAGTTTTTAAAAAGAATTCATTAGCTTATGTTAGTCATGAAGACATAGGAAGCGACCACATGAGGCAACAGGAAACAATGAGTTGATTCAGAGAGCAGAAGCCAGAAATCCCAGTATCTAAAATAAGAGGCGCGGTTATATATTCTGAAATAATTATTATTAATATATCTCTTAACTATAATTTCTGAAGTTCTATAGATTACTTAACTAGATAATATATATAAAATTATAATAAAATAATTATAAAAAAAATTATTTTTTTAATTTTTAACTATTATTTTATTTTTTTAAAATAAAATATTTTCTTAAATATTTTAAATTTTATTATCTAAAGAGATTTAATTAATCTATTTATTATATTTTTTTTTAAAAAAATTTAATAAAATTTAATCTATTCTTATCTTTAAATATTTTTAATAAATTAGATATAATTATTAAGCTATTTAATAATCAGAGTATAGCTCTTCTTATAAATTAAATTAATAATATTGTAATAATCTATATAGATTAAGATATAATTAAATATTAATATATTAAATATCTTAATTAATTATTTAATTTATAAATCTTTTTTAATAATCTTTTTATATATAATTAATTTAATTAGAATTAAGAACTTAGTAATAATCTCTTACTTCTTATTTAACTAATTAATTAATAATTTAATAAAGAAAATAATAAATATCTCTATCAATTTATAATCTAAATAATTCTAATATATTATATTATATTATATTTTTATAAAATTAGTATATTTTAGAATTAGAATAAGATTATATTTATTATTCTTAAAATAACAGAGAATACTCTTTATAATTATTATATTATATAATATTAGACTTTAATAATAATATTATAAATAGAAAATAGAATATATAATATTAAATCTTATATATATTAATAATTAATTTAGTTTATCTATTATTATTATATAATTCTTAATATTATTATTATTATATTTCTAATTCTCAGGCCTAAATTCCTGATATTTAGGATTTATAAAATAATTTTTTAATAATATTTTATTTATATTATAATATTTTAAAAGATTTTTAATATAAATATTCTAATTTATAATAATAATTTTTTTTATAATATCTTTGTTAATATCACAGCTAAAAAAATAAGTTAGAATATTTAGATATTTTATTTTAAAACTCTGATTTAAATATTTATATATCTAATTAATATTAGTTTTTATATAATCTATAATAATAAAATTATTAATATATAATATAATTAGACTTAATTCTTAAAAATAAAGACAGAGCTTTTTAATAATACTCTTAAAATTAAATATCTATAATTATTTATTAAAAATCTTATTTTAAAAATAATCTGCTTATTTTAAATTATATAATATATATTTAATAAAATATATACTATTATCTTTCTTAAATCTAATTAATTATTTTATATAAATAAGTCTGCTATTAATAATTATATATAGATATATAATAACTATATTAACTTATTTTTATTTAAGTTTTTTAATAATAATCTTTATAAATTCTATCTTTATAATAATATTAAAGATTATAAATATATATATAATATTATAATTTTTATTTATTTATTAATAATTATTATAGATTATTCAGCAAGCTTTAAAATAATTAATATATTTATTTTTATTAATTTTTATTATATAAACTTATTTATCTGAGATTATATAAATATCTTTATATATTAAATAAAATATAATCTTAAATATTTATATTTTTTATAAATTCTATAGTTTCTTTAGTATAATCTTCTGTTAATAATCTATATATAATAATAATATTATTAATTTATATATCTTAAAAATAGATATATTTATTATATATATTTATATATTAAAGACTATAAGAATTATTTTATTTTTTAAATAAACTAAGAATTTATTTTTAGTTTTATAATTTAAAATTTATATTAATTATATTATCTCCTGCTTTTTTTTTAATAATATATTTTAATAATATTATAACCTTATTATTCTGAATAATAACAGAGATATTATTTTTAATTATATTAAAATTATTAATTAAATCTGACTAATTTATTAGCTTATTAGTACTTAATAACTTTATTTAATATAAATAATATAGAATATCTGTGATCTGTATAATATATATATTATTAAATAAAAATCTTATATATTTATTCTGAGTATTTTTTTTTAATTAAAGATTATATATTCTTTTTAATTATAAAATAATATTATTATTAAAGCAAAAGTATCTGACAGTAATTTAATTAATATTATAAAATAGATATATTTTCTAAGATACTGAGAAATCTTAGACTATAATAAAATTTTATTAAAGTTTATTATAATTAGTCTTTATTAATATTATAATTAATAGAATTATTAAAAAAAGTTATAAAGATATTTTTCTATTTTTTTATATTTTTATGAACAGAAGAAAGAATAAGTCTAATAAAAAATTAAATAATATTAAGTCTAATAAAAAACTAAATAATAATATTATTTTTTTTAGCTTATTAAGAATCTTCTAGATAGAATATAATTAATTAAATAAAATATAATTTTAAAAATTATTAAAAAATTATTTAAATTCTTCTGTATATTAGTAATAGATCTTTTATCTAAAAACTCTTAATAATTATTTTATATTTAGTTATAAATAATAAAATAATATAGTAATTAAAATTACTCTCTATAAATTTAATAAATTATAATTAATATTTTACAGGGATTTCTGTATCAGAATCCGGATTATTCTTATTATTATAATATATCTTTATTTTATATAGCTTAATATAATATAATTAATAGATCTTATAATCCAAAGAACTCTAAATCTTTAATATATAATTATATTTTTTCTTATAATTAATTAAATATTTTTTAATTATTTTTAAAGATATCTTTCTTATCTGTATATATATTTTCTTAAATAAATAAATATATATTTAATATTTAAAAATATATAAAAAATTAAGAGTAGATTTTAAATTAGATAATTTATAATACTTATACTATTTTTATAGCAGAGACTTATTAGTCTTATTATTTAAATAAATTAGTTAATTAATAATTAGATTAATAATATTAATTATAAAAGATTATATATTTTTAAGCAGATTACTATTAATAATTATTATATAAATTATTTAATTAAGATAATCTCTATACTATTCTAAAGATTTATTAGCCTCGGGTATATAATATAATATTAAAATAATATATATTAATAATTAACTTTTAATTTATTTAATAAAAAGATTAAACTCAGTATCTTTATCAAGATACTAGTATTATATTTACTTACTAATTAATATTTTATATTTCTTAATAAAATACTCTAGTTCAGTATCTATATTCTTAGTTTTTAGAAAATAAACTTTAGATTATTAAATAATAAAATTAATTATAATTAAATATATATAATATCTATTATATTTTATTAATTTTATTAGCTGAATATTAATAGTCTATAATACTAAGAGATTTATATCTATAATAATTAGATCTTAACTAATAACTTGCTTAGATTTTATTAGTAAGTATAATTTATAGTTAGATTATATAAGACTATTAATCTTAAATTAATTAATTATTATAATAACTTTTAACTTGAAAATATCTATATATTTTAATTATTAATATAATAATATTAGATTAAGTATTATAGCTAATATAATTCTTAGATTTTTATATTTATTTAATTTAATAAATAAGACTTTATACTTTTTATAAACTTTATTAATACTTTTCTGAATTTTAATATTTTAAATAATAATATTAAAATAATTCTATATATTATATATTTTATAAGCCGAGATTCTGCTAAAGATTCTAAAATTTATATTTAAATAATAATATATAATATTATATATCTTTATCTATTCTCTATAATTATTATTAAAGTAAAAAAAATTATATTATAATTTAGAATATAATTTACTGTGCTATTAAAAATATTAAACTAATATAAAATCTTATCTAATTAATAAAAAGTATAATTAATAAAATAGTTATAATTAAAAGTAATATAATAATTTATTTTTAAATTTTAAATCTATTAATTTTTTATATTCAGGATTCTTATATTAAGAGTTATAAATTAAATAGATATAATAATATTATTAATATTTTTATTTATCTTAATATAAAAAAAAATAAATATTTTAATATATACTTCTTCTCTATTATCTTCTCTATAGAATCTAATATAATATATTATATTAAATAATAAAAGTTCTTATTATTTAATACTACTACAGAGATATTAGACTATTTTAAAAAATTTTTATATAAAATAAATTAATCTAATATAGCAGTTTATTTATTATTTTTAGATTTATATTTTTAGATATTTTATTTAAATATCTAATCTGAATCTCGCAGCTTTAAAATTAAGTAAAAATAAAAATATAATTTATAATTATTTAAAATTCTATAATATATATATTTACTATTTATTTAATTATTAAGATACTTTAATTAATATTATTAATAATTATAGTTTATTATATTTTTTAAAGACTATCTTTATTATTTATTTTTAATATTAATTTTATATTAATATTATTATTTTTCTTCTTCTTTAAATTAGATATCTTGGGCTTAGATATTTTTATATATATAATAATTAGAATAGCTAAGACTAGAAAAATTAAAAAAGTTATAATAATTATCTTCTTTATAATTTTAATATAAAAATAATTAAATTATTATTTAATATATATCTTTAGTTTAAT